TGAATTGACTATAGTCTATAGAAATCTGGACAATATATGTATATAGAATTGAATATAGCTTTGGCTATAGACTAGTCTAGATTATATTTTATTATTGTTAATTTTTCTTTTTCGCTTAGACTAATGTACTTAAATTTCACAGTTTATTGTTAATCAACTGTTTTATAGAAATACAAAAAACAAGTAAACAATATAAATAACAAACACAAGTATTTATGTATCAATGAGTATTTAACTAGATGAATGAATGTTTGATTTTAAAATAGCAAAAAAAAATGACTCATCTTCGCTCATAGCTTGCTGCTGCTTCACAATGATAATAATGCAGTTTGCGATTAAATTGTTGTTAAATAATGATTAAATCATTATTATTTATTTGTTTTCTACCAACTTTATAACGTCTGTAGTTTAATCTAAAAACAAATTTTGGCATTAACTGTACCTTTAGACGCAATAACAAATACAAAATAAACACACAGATTTTCAAACATGCATATGCATACCTACTGAATTACAATGGCAATCCATTAGATAGATTTTTTTATACAATCAAATAGTTTACATCCCTAGTTTATGTTATTTACTTTTTTTCTGTTTAACTCTGATAAGAATTTTTTTACTTTAGTTATTTTTAGTATGATACTCACTAGAAATCGTAGTAAGTTAAAATGGTAAACTCTTTTGAGTAAATTTTCATGCTTATGTGGGTTTTAGTACTTTTGAGCAATTTCTGTAAAAATTATATTTTTTATATAATTTTAAGCTTGTATAACAAATTGTATTAAAGTTTTATTTATTAAAAATTAAATAAAAAAATAAAAAGTTAACCACTTGGTTCCATCCAGGATCGAACTGGAGACCTTCTGCGTGTAAAGCAGACGTGATAACCGCTACACTATGGAACCACATGATGAATTATTGCTCAAAATTTGTATTAACATATGCAGACCATTGTTGCTACTAATTTTTCTCAAGAAATAAGTAATATTACTGGCCCGTCCAATAAAATAAATAAAAAATTATTATAAATTTGAATCAAAACAAAGTTAGTGTCACATCGGGTGAAAAATTGTATAAAAATTCTATCATAATCAGGAAATTTACAAAACTTTTAATCACTTTTAACATTTTTAAGCGGGAAATAACAAGACGAGAATATGAACCATAGACTATACAATAGACTAGACTAAAGACTAGACTACAGACTAGACAATATACTAGACTATAGATTAGTCTATAATAGAGTAGACAATAGACTAGACTATAGACTAGACTATAGACTATAGACTAGGACTATAGACTATAGACTAGACTATAGACTAGACTATAGACTAGACTATCTAGACTAGACTATAGACTAGACTATAGACTAGACTATAGACTAGACTATAGACTAGACTATAGACTAGACTATAGACTAGACTATAGACTAGACTATAGACTAGACTATAGACTAGACTATAGACTCGACAATAGACTCGACTATAGACTAGACTATAGACTAGACTGTAGACTAGACTATAGACTAGACTATAGACTAGACTATAGACTAGACTATAGACTAGACTATAGACTAGACTATAGACTAGACTATAGGACTAGACTATAGACTAGACTATAGACTAGACTATAGACTAGACTATAGACTAGACTATAGACTAGACTATAGACTAGACTATAGACTAGACTGTAGACTAGACTATAGACTAGACTATAGACTAGACTATAGACTAGACTATAGTCTAGACTATAGACTAGACTATAGACTAGACTATAGACTAGACTATAGACTAGACTATAGACTAGACTATAGACTAGACTATAGACTAGACTATAGACTAGACTATAGACTAGACTAGACTATAGACTAGACTGTAGACTAGACTATAGACTAGACTATAGACTAGACTATAGACTAGACTATAGTCTAGACTATAGACTAGACTATAGACTAGACTATAGACTAGACTATAGACTAGACTATAGACTAGACTATAGACTAGACTATAGACTAGACTATAGACTCGACTATAGACTCGACTATAGACTAGACTATAGACTAGACTGTAGACTAGACTATAGACTAGACTATAGACTAGACTATAGACTAGACTATAGACTAGACTATAGACTAGACTATAGACTAGACTATAGACTAGACTATAGACTAGACTATAGACTAGACTATAGACTAGACTATAGACTAGACTATAGACTAGACTAGACTATAGACTAGACTGTAGACTAGACTATAGACTAGACTATAGACTAGACTATAGACTAGACTATAGTCTAGACTATAGACTAGACTATAGACTAGACTATAGACTAGACTATAGACTAGACTATAGGCTAGACTATAGACTAGACTATAGACTAGACTATAGACTAGACTATAGACTAGACTATAGACTAGACTATAGACTAGACTATAGACTAGACTATAGACTAGACTATAGACTAGACTATAGACTAGACTATAGACTAGACTATAGACTAGACTATAGACTAGACTATAGACTAGACTATAGACTAGACTATAGACTAGACTATAGACTAGACTATAGACTAGACTATAGACTAGACTATAGACTAGACTATGGACTAGACTATAGACTAGACTATAGATAGACAAGACTATAGACTAGTCTATAGACTAGACTATAGACTAGACTATAGACTAGACTATAGACTAGACTATAGACTAGTCTATAGACTAGACTATAGACTAGACTATAGACTAGACTATAGACTAGACTATAGACTAGACTATAGACTCGACTATAGACTCGACTATAGACTAGACTATAGACTAGACTGTAGACTAGACTATAGACTAGACTATAGACTAGACTATAGACTAGACTATAGACTAGACTATAGACTAGACTATAGACTAGACTATAGACTAGACTATAGACTAGACTATAGACTAGACTATAGACTAGACTATAGACTAGACTATAGACTAGACTATAGACTAGACTAGACTATAGACTAGACTGTAGACTAGACTATAGACTAGACTATAGACTAGACTATAGACTAGACTATAGTCTAGACTATAGACTAGACTATAGACTAGACTATAGACTAGACTATAGACTAGACTATAGACTAGACTATAGACTAGACTATAGACTAGACTATAGACTAGACTATAGACTAGACTATAGACTAGACTATAGACTAGACTATAGACTAGACTATAGACTAGACTAGACTATAGACTAGACTATAGACCTAGACTATAGACTAGACTATAGACTAGACTAGACTATAGACTAGGACTGTAGACTAGACTATAGACTAGACCTGTAGACTAGAACTATAGACTAGACTATAGACTAGACTATAGACTAGACTATAGTCTAGACTATAGACTAGACTATAGACTAGACTATAGACTAGACTATAGACTAGACTATAGACTAGACTATAGACTAGACTATAGACTAGACTATAGACTCGACTATAGACTCGACTATAGACTAGACTATAGACTAGACTGTAGACTAGACTATAGACTAGACTATCGACTAGACTATAGACTAGACTATAGACTAGACTATAGACTAGACTATAGACTACTATAGACTAGACTATAGACTAGACTATAACCTAGACTAGACTATAGACTAGACTGTAGACTAGACTATAGACTAGACTATAGACTAGACTATAGACTAGACTATAGTCTAGACTATAGACTAGACTATAGACTAGACTATAGACTAGACTATAGAACTAGACTATAGGCTAGACTATAGACTAGACTATAGACTAGACTATAGACTAGACTATAGACTAGACTATAGACTAGACTATAGACTAGACTATAGACTAGACTATAGACTAGACTATAGACTAGACTATAGACTAGACTATAGACTAGACTATAGACTAGACTATAGACTAGACTATAGACTAGACTATAGACTAGACTATAGACTAGACTATAGACTAGACTATAGACTAGACTATAGACTAGACTATGGACTAGACTATAGACTAGACTATAGACTAGACTAGACTAGACTATAGACTAGACTATGGACTAGACTATAGACTAGACTATAGATATAGACTAAGACTATAGACTAGTCTATAGACTAGACTATAGACTAGACTATAGACTAGACTATAGACTAGACTATAGACTAGTACTATAGACTAGACTATAGACTAGACTATAGACTAGACTATAGACTAGACTATAGACTAGACTATAGACTCGACTATAGACTCGACTATAGACTAGACTATAGACTAGACTATAGACTAGACTATAGACTAGACTATAGACTAGACTATAGACTAGACTATAGACTAGACTAGACTAGACTAGACTAGACTATAGACTAGACTATAGACTAGACTATAGACTAGACTATAGACTAGACTATAGACTAGACTATAGACTAGACTATAGACTAGACTATAGACTAGACTATAGACTATATTCTTTAGAAATACTATAGAACCCGAAATTAAAATAAAGTACGGAAAGTATTTAAGATGATTAGTTATAAAATAAATTTTTAAATGACATTAACAAAGTCATGTAAAAATTTCACAAAAAAAAGTTGTATCACCCTGGTTCCATCCAGGATCGAACTGGAGACCTTCTGCGTGTAAAGCAGACGTGATAACCGCTACACTATGGAACCACATGATTGACTTGTGATTAAGTAAAAACACAGTCAGTTGGAAAGAAAAAAGTACTACTTTCTAACAATTTACTAATGATTTCGAACATAAAAAATATCAACAATTAATTTAACAAAAAGAAAAGTAAATGAACTAACGAAATCAAAATTCATAGAGAGGGAATTATAATAACTGCGCTCTTATATAAATTGAGCATTTAACAATTAATTGAGCGCAAATAGTAAATGAGTAAAAATAACAAAATTAACTCAAGTCTACACACATGATAATGATGATGATGATGAACCAAACGACTGATCATATGGCTAAACAAGTGAAGACAACAAAACAGTTGATATTTTGTCACTGCTGATCAAACAACGTGTGTTTTTTTTTTAAACGTATTTTAAAAATTTCGTGTGTTTTTTTAAATAAATAAGAAAATAATTATTTCGTTATTTTGTGCAATTTGTAATTAAGAGAAAAGAGTATTAATAAATAAATACAAATAAAATAGAAAATTTGTTTCATAAAAGTGAATACAAAAAGAAAAGTGTTTAAAATTTTTACACGCAAATTGGCGGAAGAAATAAATTAACTAAAAAATTAACAAATTTATTTTTAAAAAAAGTGTCTGCGTTGCAACATAAAAAAGTGTTAAACAATTAAAATCGTATAAATACATATTTATTTTGTGAATTAAAACAGAGAAAAAAAGCAAAAAATCTAAATATAAATTCAATAAAAAGCAGTTGGTAACAAAAACATAAAAAATAAAATAAAAAATTTAATAAAGAGAGGGATAGAAAAACCCCACGAAAGAGCGTAAACAAAACAAAAACCACAACAACCTCTTAGTTTTTGTGGATTTTCCTTTTTTTCTTAAAGGGAAAATCAAAATTTTCGATTCGGTGTCCGCAACGTTTAGCGCCCGATTTTTTACTATTTTTATAGTTTCCAATGTAGCCCTTTGGGTTTTTCTTAACACGAGCGTGAGTGTGATAAGTTTCTATGAACAGAGTTCGTGTTAATTGTGAAATTTCATTTAATTTACAATTATTAATATTAAATGCTATTTACATTTTATATAATTTCGTTCTACGTCCATCTCGAGAAAGCAATATTGGCTGAATTTGTTTTAAGAAAGAACAACAATTAGTGTAGTAATTTTGTAAATAAATTCTCTCCAGTTCATTTAATTTTGTTGTGAGTCAGTCACGAGATATTGGAATTTTTGGGTAAGTTTTTTTTGTCTTTAACTTTTTTGTTATTGTTTTTTGTTTGTATTTAATTTTAAAAAGTAATTTTAAATTTATACATTATTTCATCTCTCTCTGTGTTTTTGTTGTGCGATTGTTGAGGATGATATTGCTCCCGTTGCTGGCGTTTGCAAACGAGAAGTGTGTTGACTTTTTACTTCGAGTAGTTTCTTTTAACCCATTGGATCCAGGGGGTGTATAATTGCGACTATAGACTGACTATAGACTATATACTAGACTATAGACTAGACTAGACTAGACTAGACTAGACTATAGACTAGACTATAGACTAGACTATAGACTAGACTATAGACTAGACTATAGACTAGACTATAGACTAGACTATAGACTAGACTAGACTATAGACTAGACTATAGACTAGACTATAGACTAGACTATAGACTAGACTATAGACTAGACTATAGACTAGACTATGGACTAGACTATAGACTAGACTATAGACTAGACTATAGACTAGACTATAGACTGGACTATAGACTAGACTATAGACTAGACTATAGACTAGACTATAGACTAGACTATAGACTAGACTATAGACTAGACTATAGACTAGACTATGGACTAGACTATAGACTAGACTAGACTATAGACTAGGCTAGACTATAGACTAGACTAGACTATAGACTAGACTATAGACTAGACTATAGACTAGACTATAGACTAGACTATAGACTAGACTATGGACTAGACTATGGACTAGACTATGGACTAGACTATAGACTAGACTATAGACTAGACTATAGACTAGACTATAGACTAGACTATAGACTAGACTATAGACTAGACTATAGACTAGACTATGGACTAGACTATGGACTAGACTATGGACTAGACTATAGACTAGACTATAGACTAGCCTATAGACTAGACTATAGACTAGACTATAGACTAGACTATAGACTAGACTATAGACTAGACTATAGACTAGACTATAGACTAGACTATATACTAGTCTATAGTCTAGTCTATAAACTAGATATAGTCTATTGACTAGACTATAGACTAGACTATTGACTAGACTATAGACTACATACTAACTATTGATCATACTATGGATTAGAATATAGATTACCCTATAGACTAGACTATAGACTAGACTATAGACTAGACTATAGACTAGACTATAGACTAGACTATAGACTAGACTATAGACTAGACTATAGACTAGACTATAGACTAGACTATAGACTAGACTATAGACTAGACTATAGACTAGACTATAGACTGGACTATAGACTAGACTATAGACTAGACTATGGACTAGACTATAGACTAGACTAGACTATAGACTAGGGTAGACTATAGACTAGACTAGACTATAGACTAGACTAGACTATAGACTAGACTAGACTATAGACTAGACTATAGACTAGACTATATACTAGACTATAGACTAGACTATAGACTAGACTATAGACTAGACTATAGACTAGACTATAGACTAGACTATAGACTAGACTATAGACTAGACTATAGACTAGACTATAGACTAGACTATAGACTAGACTATAGACTAGACTATAGACTAGACTATAGACTAGACTATAGACTAGACTATAGACTAGACTATAGACTAGACTATAGACTAGACTATAGACTAGACTATAGAATAGACTATAGACTAGACTATAGACTAGACTATAGACTAGACTATAGACTAGACTATAGACTAGACTATAGACTAGACTATAGACTGGACTATAGACAAGACTATAGACTAGACTATAGACTAGTCTATAAACTAGATATAGTCTATTGACTAGACTATAAACTACACTATTGACTAGACTATAGACTAAATGCTAACTATTGATTATACTATGGATTAGAATATAGACTACACTAATGACTAGACTATATACTAGTCTATACTCTAGGACAATACTAGACTATACACTATACCAAAAAACTTACATAGATCAACAAATTTTTAACCCAGATACCAAAGTATCCGCTGAATCCGAATCTACCTTCAGAATTTTTCCAGTACATCAAGTTTTATATGTATATGAGTGTGGAGATAATGATCTTTCAATATTTCACATTACAAAATTTTGTTCCTACACAATGGGTTAATAATGCTGAGAAAACTATGGGATTATTTTAATCTGTTGCGTTTCACTCTTGAGAAAATAAGTGTATGTGTGTATACAAATATGTATAATGTCGTTTGAAATTAGATGCGTTGCTATTTTAAAACATCATGACGCGCATAAAGCTTAACCATCACTCGAACGTCAACTGAAGTACATATTTATTTCAGTACATATTACGTACATAATTTCCGGAGGCTTGTTACCAATAATAAATTTTTTGCGAATGATAATCCCGCAACGGACACGTATATTAAAAATTTTCCACTTTCCACAAGAGAGGACCGTTGATTATGAAAAAGTATTTTTTAGCAATTAAAAAGTTGAAAAGGTTGTCATGTACTGTAAATATAGATAAATTATGGAACCAACATGGTTCCGTTAGTGCTAATAAAAGTAAATGTATTTATTTCAAGGTTATTTTTTCACATACCGTCATTTCCTCTTAAATTTATTATCGAGAACTACCAACTGATAATGTTCATTCAAGTATTTTGAACCTAAATACAAATTCTCAGTACTTCGAACCCCAAAACAAATATAAATTTAACTCTGGTGGGTGGAAGTGAAATTTGATTAGCAGTCGCTTGATGACAGGCAAATAACAAATATTTGCATATATTGAAACACAATTTGCCAGCCTTAAAATCCAAATAACTGGCGAGAAAATTTATGAAAGTGTGTGCTAAACAGGTTAAAAGATAAAAATTATATGAGGAATTTTGACTGGTTGGGCTATAAGCATAACGATAAGAAATGTTTACTGTGGCATACAAAATAAATATAAACAATTTTATCTGGCTTTTGCAAAATGAGTGTTACGGGACTTGTGTAATTTAAATCACATAATATGTCTCATTATTTTTATCTTTAGCATTATCTTTACAAAGTAAATCCTAATTTATCGTCAAATTGTAAAATATTTGCGCTTCAAATTTCCACTTCAATTAATGACATTTCCTAGACAGCTTCTTAGAAAAAGATGCTCCATATGTTAATGAAGATGTTAACTTTTGTTTTCAAGTTATTGTTATCAGTTGTCGCCAGTACATCAGCACCATGTTGGGGATTTTTTCCCCGGCACTTTTTGTTTATAGCGCGTGTCCATCTCGTGTTTGTATACTGTTTGTTTTCTGTCTAGATAGTCTTTACGTTATCTCTGAAACACGTTTTCATAAGATATCGTTACCGAAACTATGAGATCGATGAAATCCGTTTTTCTTCGACCGTAACCGAACAAAAAATAATTTCAGAAAAACTTATAATTTTTGATGACTATGCAACAGATTATGGATTAGACTACAAATTAAAGCCGAAGGACTAGACTACATATTAGTCCAAGGACTTGACTACAGTTTAGTTTAAGGACTTGACTATAGTTTAGTCTATGAACTTGACTACAGTCTAGTCATAGGAAATGACTACATTCTAGTCTAAGGACTAGACTACGGTCTACTCTAAGGACTTGACTAGAGTCTAGTCTAAGGACTGGACTACAGTCTGACTTAAGAACTAGACTACAGTGTTGTCTAAGTACAGCCTAGTCTATAAACTAGTCTACAGTCTAGTCCATAAAATAGCAAATAGTCTAGTCTATAAACTAGAACAGTCTTTTCTTTAAACTAGACAATAGTCTAGTCTATATACTAGACTGTAGTCTAGTTTATAAACTAGACTACAGTCCAGTCCATAAACTAGCTAATAGTCTAGTCTATAAACTAGACAACAGTCTGTTCTATAAACTAGACAATAGTCTATATACTAGACTATAGTTTAGTCTATAAACTAGACTGTAGTCTAGTCTGTAAACTAGAAATGAGCCTAGTCTATAATCTAGACTGTAGTCTAGTCTATAAAATAGACAACTAGATAACAGTCTTGTCTATTTACTAGACAATAGTCTAGTCTATATAGTAGACAACCGTCTAGTCTACATACTAGACAACAGTCTAGTATTTAAACTAGACAGCAGTCTAGTCTTTAAACTAGACAACAATCTAGTCTTTAAACTAGACAACAGTCTAGTCTACAGTCTACTCTTTCAGTCTAGTCTAAGAACTAGTCTGGTCTAGGGACTAGACTTCAGTCTAGTCTAGGAACTAGACTACACCCTAGTGTATGAAGCAGACTACAGTCTAGTGTATCAACTAGACTACAGTCTAGTCTATCTACTATACTATAGTTTAGTCTATCAAACTAGACTACAGTCTAGTCTATCAACTAGACTTCAGTCGAGTCTATTAACTAGACTTCAGACTAGTCCATGAACTAGACTATAGTCTAATCTATAAACTAGACTACAGTCTAGTCTATGAACTAGACTATTGTCTGGTCTATGAACTAGACTACAGTCTAGTATATGAACTAGACTACAATCTTGTCTATGAACTAAACTACTGTCTGGTCTATGAAGTAGACTTCAGTCCAGCCCATGAACTGGACTACAGTCTCGTCTTTGAACTAAACTACAGTTTCGTCTATGAACTAGACTACAGTCTAGTCTATGAACTAGACTACCGTCTAGTCTATGAACTAGACTACAGTCTAGTCTATGAACTAAACTACAGTTTCGTCTATGAACTAGACTACAGTCTAGTCTATGAACTAGAATACAGTCTAGTCTATGAACTAGACTTCAATCTAGTATATGGAGTAGACTTCAGTCTAGTCCATGAACTAGACTACAGTCTAGTCTATGAACTATACTACAGTCTATAAACTAGACTACAATCATAGAACTAGCCTACAGTCTGATCTGTGAATTAGACTACAATCTAGTCTATGAACTAAACCACAGTCTAGTCTATAAACTATACTACAGCCTAGTCCATAAACTAGACAAAGTCTCGTCTTTGAAATAAACTA